GACAAGTGACTGTCCAGTCTCTTCTTAAAAACATCCAGTGATGGAGCGCCCACAATTTCTGGTTAATTGTCCTCACTCTTAGGAACCTCCTCTTCTTTGTGGCAGCCCCTCAAATACTGGAACACTGCTATCATGTCTCCCCTATTTCTTCTTTTCTTTAAACTAGCCAAACTCAAGTCCTGCAGCCGTTCTTCTTTAGTCTCCAGGCCTTTGATCACCTTAGTTGCTCTTCTCTGAATTTTTTCCAAACTCTCAACATCTTATTTGTGATGTAGTGACCAAAATTGGCTGCAGTATTCCAGGTGTGGTCTTACTAGGGTTTTATAAAGTGGTACTAATCCTTCACATGTTCTTGATTCTATGCCTCTGTTTATACAACCCAGGACTGTATTAGCTTTTTTGGCTGCTGATGCACACTGCTGGCTCATATTCAACTGATCATCCACTAGGACTCCAAGGTCCCTCTCACAGTTACTGTTTTTGAGCCAGGTCTTGCCTAATCTGTACTTACACCTCTGATTTTTCTGCCTAAACATAAAACTTTGCTCTTCTCCACATTAAATTTCATTTTGTTGGATAGGGCCCATTGTTCAAGTTTGTCAAGATCTTTTTGGATCCTGAGCTTGTCTTTTGGGGTGTTGGCTATTCCTGCCAGTTTAGTGTCATCTGCAAATTTGGTGAGTTCCACTTCTATTCCCTCATCTATGTCATTTATGAAGATATCGAAGAGTACTGGGCCTAAGACAGACCCTTGGTTTTATAATAGGTGTAAATAATTGATTCTATTGTAGGCTGCCCAGAATTACCTTCTGTAAGATGGCAGCCATATGGATTTGATTAAACAAACAGACAAATAAACCTTTTTCTTTGTGATTCTAGAACTCTGTGCAGGATGCCTTTGAGCATTTTTGTTCAGTATATCGTAGAGGCTATTCATTTTCAAATAAGATTATACTATCAGTTAGCGCCCAACTTATTAGCACAGGATAATTATAGCTACTTTGTGGTTTGTGCTTTAAAGAACAAGCATATTATTTACAGAGACTGTAATGGTATTCCAGATATGGCCACCCAGTGAGATGTGATCAGCATACATTGTTGTTACAGTGGCAGAAAACCCAGTAAATTCTTGCAGCAGATGTTCAGTGTTTACTCTGCAAAAGCAGCAGGAGCCATCATAAAAAAAATCAGCTAGTTAGTTTAATCATGATTAACATTCTTAGACAAACCCCTCTGAGTTTTGAAAGTTCATAGCAAAGAGAGTGTACAACAATAAATTCAGGTTGCAATCCTCCTTTCTTGCCACACAGGAAGTAAGTCTAAATTTTATGGGAATTATTTCCAAAGAGGCATAAACAGTAGTAGCCAAAATGGTGGAAACCTTTTGGGAAAAGTGTATAATAGAAATGCCACCTTTGGTTAAGCTTCCACCATTTTTTCTTCTATTTTTTTTTATAACTGTAGCCTTGTTCACTTAATAATACTATTTTACATTGCTTTCTGGGCAACCAGTTCAACTCTTTGCACCATTATTTTAATTTTATTTTACAAGCTCACTAAATGAAAGAACACAAAAAACCCCAACCAACTTGATAGCGATCATGTAACACACTGACAAATGTCCTCCTCGCAGCTTCAATACATGACATCAATAACTGAATCCTACTGTGATCTGATTGACTCATTGCCAAAAGAAGATGACACCTGATTGCCTCTCTAAACACTCATGCTCATTGGCTACAATCAGATGAAGGAAAGCTACCTGATATCAATCTAAGCAAGCTACACAATTTTGGCCACTACTGTATAATCATACATATTTGGAAAACATGTGGAAAGTTATGTAAAGTATAGAAACATATAGTACAGTTGTTGCACTGAAATAATAGGTATTAGTAAAGTTGATGCATTTGAGATACCTTCATATTATATATATTAGGGACATATATTGTGAAAAAGCCAATTTGGTCTACTGGTTAAGGCACTGGGCTAAAAAGCAGAAGATATGAGTTCAAGTCACGTCTTAGCCATAAAAGACAGCTGGATGACTTTGGGCTCTCTCTCCCTCAGCCCAACAGGTTGTTGTGAAGAAAATAGGAGGAGGAAGATGTGTTGGGTAAGTTTGCTGCCTTGAATTTTGTAAAACTAATAATATTGGGATACAAGTAAATAAAATAAAAATAATGAGTTTTTTTCTTAGATTTTGCTTTTCTTAAGGTGATTTGCAGGGGGAAAAAATAAATGGTGTGAATAAATGAATATAATGAACACTGATTGGAAAACTGATCTTCACCTCCTAACTTCTGAAAAGTCATGCGTATGATTAAAATGTCATTAAATGCAACAAAAAGCCAAACTAAAGACATTAAAATGCATCATCTCAGTGACTCTTTCATGTTTAATCTGATAGTAACAAGCAAGCTGAGGCTATAACTTTCATCTGAACTGTGATAAAGAAAGAGAATGAGTACAGCTCTGTGCTTCTGCATCATATATTTGCCAAAATTGTCCTCCTCGTTTGTGGATATAGTTAGCCTTGAGACCAAAGTCTGCCTTGATCTGAATTGAGAGAAACAGGAAGGGTGATTTTCATCAGCAGCATGGCAGAAGAAGAAAATGATTCTCCTTTTCAATCAGTATTTCTGACTGAAAGAAAGTTATCGGTAGTTAGCAATTACAAAATTGAAGGGGCCAGAACAAGCAGTCCCTTTAGTTCATCTCTACTGAGCAACATTTAGGAAGTATTGTATAGCATCTGTAAACTATTGATGTGGTCCTCAAAACAGTCTTGACATCTGCTATAGAACTTTTTCAGTCACACGTTAGCTACTAGTGTGAGAGGTTTTATATCAAAATATATTTTATTCTTTATACTGTTTCCATCTTAAAATATTAACAGAATCCTCAATCATCCGAGAATCAGCATCTCCACTAGATAATTGACAGTCAAACTGAAACTAATTTAATCAAGTAAAAATAGAAAACGGGGGGAAATCTTTTACTCAAATTTACTCAAATCCCCAAATAGGTTATCCAGATCTAATCTACATATCAAAGAATAAGGTCTGTAAACACAAATATAGTTAATTAAATCGCCCAGCGGAACTGCATGTTCACAAGAATAAGCATCATAGATGACATAACTACACACACACACACACACACACATACACTCTTCAGGTGTCACCCTAGAATCAGCACGTAGACACTTCCACACCAGGACAAGCTCCCGTATAAAAGTATGTCGCTGTACCCCATTTCTCTGCAGCTGCCCCTAAAGGCAAACTCTTTGCTTTTAGAAATAAATATTTCTTCATTTCTCACAGCTGTCTGTATTTCATTTTTATTTATTCTTGCACCATCCTGGCTTGAGTTGGAACCCCAAATTATTCTTCTGACAAAAGAAATATTTGAGAGCATGTTCAAGTAAGACTAGTCAGAACTTGGAATATTTAGATATGCAAATAGGACATTAATCAGAGACATTAATCCAGCTTGCAGGACTGGCCTAGGGGAAAATTTTTAATGGGGGTTTTAAAGTAATTTTAAACTAATTAGACCAATCATTAATATTTGTTTTTAATTATGTTTTTAATCTGTAGTTTCTTGGGATTAGTATTTTTATCTGGTTGTTAGCCGCCCTGAGTCCGCAAGGAGAAGGGCAGGATATAAATTAAATTAATAAATAAATAAATAAATAAAGAACATTGAACAACAGGATGGTCATAATGGAGACTCACCTTCCTGGTTTATTCAGAGGTATTTTTCTTTACCTCTGATTTAAGGGAAAAGGGACTTTACCTCTCTGTGGGTAAATGCTACAATCTGCAGCAATACAGGAAATAATTTATGACTTTTCAATTTAAAGTCCTTCAATTATTATCTCAGTTCATGTTGCAACAGGGTTTGGCAACTTTTTCAGATCAGTAATGGCCCTGACAAAAATGACTTGCTGAAATCTCACAAGCCCTTCTCTGACATCTTATCTGTTCTTTTCAAGAATGCACTTAAAATATCTGTGGAAAACCCCCCCCCCCCAAATCTTAAGAAAATTCAGCCAATATTTTTTTCAAGAATGTTTACAATTTAACTTAAAGAGTTTTATAGATGGTGCTTTGGCAATACCTCTCTCATAACAATCTCCTGAGATAAACCACACTGCAGAAGCAGAAGAGAGCATTGGTGAAGATATAAAACATGATTTATTAAAGCACAGCATCTATCATTAGTGGCATTCCTGGGGGTAAAAAAAATAATCAATATGGCAGTTGTGCAGAGCAATCACAGCACATTCCTTTTATGTGTGTGTCAATGTAACATGCACATACAAAGGGGTGGGACTTCAAGTGCACAATTGCAACTGTCTCTTGTCAACTGTTTTTGAGTCCCTCCCTACAGACAAGCTGTCCATCACCCTTTATTACTGGTCCTGCTGGTTCCTGAAAGCTTTAGTTTCTTATTGTCTGAATGAATGCAGATTCTGGATCATTGCCTAAGAAAACTGTTGATAAGACAGAAGCTGACAAACAGTTAGAATAAGGAATATTGGTTAAAAAATTACTGAGTTATTCACTCTGCTCACACATTTTCATATTATTACCGATCTCTCACATACTTTAATTTTTCTTTAATTTGGATAGTTATTTTTCTTCAATCACATATGGCCTGGGATGGAAAAAATATAGTTTATTTTCCATCCTTATCTTAAAATACCTTCTTCTATATCACGGGCCCTCAACCCCTGGTCTGTGGCCCACTACCAGGCTGTGGCCTGTTCAGAACTGGGCCGCATGCATTTGCATGCAGCTCAACTTGCGTGAGCAGTGGGCTGGTGTACATGCACATGCGCAAGCAGCTCAACTCACACATGTGAGTTGTGTATGTGCACAGGCATGCCAGCCCACCACTCACATGGCCTGGTTCCCCTCTCCCCCCCTCCCAGTCAGGCTGCCAAGCCACAAAGGTTGGCGACCGCTGCTCTATATGATATGCATGCATACCTTGGTGGACAATCTTTTTCAGTGCATTTTTTCTGTTTTGCCTTGGGCTGTGTTTCTGGGTCACAAAACAGGTTTTTCACCATACTCTTCCCCCTTTTCACACACTGGGCAATCTGTCGCTGAAACCCTATAAGAAAAATGAAAAAAAAATTGAACTTCATCTTTAGATGTTATCTTTAAGAAGATAAACATTTTGGTGCTCATATTAGGTGTTAGCACTGCTGAGAAACTGCTGAGTACACAGATTTGCAGGAGGACATCCTGCCTGCTATTAGCACTATATGCCAGCACCAAATGTTCAAAACCTAGACAGCAGACATTAGCACCTGCCAGTTTATATTCTTTTTATTTATGTTTTTTGAATGTCAAACTCCAGTGGACTTTACCTATATTACTGCAGAATTTGTGTGTTCCACAGCATTTTAAGGAACAGAATAACAGATTTGGAAAGGAGCTTGGAGGTCTTCTCGTCCAATCCCCTGCACAAGCAGGAGACCCTATACCAGTGATGGGGAGACCGAGTGCCCCAAAACCGCCACCGCCCCCACCCCGTCCCGCCCACAGGACCACCAACCTCCATTGGCCACCGCAGATTGCCCAGGGGGCCCAGCAGCATCATGGTGGCCACACCCTCCGACCATGCCCCACATCATCTGCATACAATGGGGTGTGGGGGCGGAGCCTTGTCCCCGCTGCCCGGCTGCCATGTCTTTGGCTGCGCTGCTCTGTGTGGGCCACGACCGGGGCCGACTCTCCTCCGGGGGGCTGCTGGTGAGGGGGCCATGGGGGGAGGCAGGAATGGGGCAATGGTGTGGGTGCCCACAGAGAGTGCCGCCTCTGGCACACGTGCCATAGGATTGCCACCAGTGCCCTATACAATTCTGGACAGATGGCTGTTCAATCTCCTCTTCAAAACCTCCAGTGCTGGAACACCCACAACTTCTGAAGGCAAGTTGTTCCACAGATTAATTGTTCCAACTCTTAGGAAATTTTGCCTAAGTTCTAGATTGGTTTTCTCCTTGATTAGTTTCTACCCATTGCTTTTTGTCCTGCTTTCTGGTACTTTGGAGAATAGGTTGGCCTCCTCTTCTATGGCAGCCCCTCAAATATTGGAACACTGGTATCATGTCATCCTTATAATGATAGTTGGCACAATAGTTTGGTGTTCCAGCTAAAGTTGGTACTATAGTTTGGCATTCCAGCTTAAAAAACCCTCCTCATTCTACTACTGATATATCCCTGTGCCATCCACACTATGGATTTTTCATTTAAAAAGGAGACATTGCCCATACTAAGGGATTAGGGAGATGCCCTACTATGATTTTTTTCCCAGAAGTAATAGGGTATGGGTATGGGAATGGGAATGCCCAAATAATTCCAAGTGGGCTTATTTCTGCTAAAATCATCCTTGGTTATATCCTGATATTGTAACTGCAGTTTTATCCTTTGTTTATACTGATGCATTTGTTTCTAAAGCTTCCTGAATAAGCTCAAAGAGAAATGAGAAGAAAAATGAAAGGATGAGAGAAAACAGAAGAAAATAAATAGGTCGCCTTTTAGATGTGTGGGACTTTAGTTCTTCAAAAAAAAACAAACCCCATAACCTTGTTGAAAATGTAGAACCATAGTCCAACTCAACTCAGTAATCAGTTCAGGCAAACCCCGATCGACCCTCTTGGAATTCAACTTTATATGAAACAGTTTTTTGCATCTGTAAACTAAGGATAATAGATATAAAGAGCAGAGGCACTTTTATCTCCTTTTTTATCTAAAGTATTTACTTCACATGTCTCTGTGTACAACAGGCCTGCTGTTGATTAGATGCTTACAAATCTTTCTTTCTTCTTTCAATTCAGTTCAAACCAGACAGTACATAGGACCTGTTTTCAATAGGTCGAGATGGTGAAGTAAATTGATAATAAGAATTACTCAAGAAGAAAGGGTAATTATCATAAATTAACTGACAAGAGTGAAATTCTCTTTCTACCTTAATTACTCCACAGAGGCAACTAGAGGTCACCTTCAGCAATTACTTGATAAGTTATTATTAGTTTGAACAGGGCTGATAAAAGCGCTTTCAATGTTATTTTTTAATAAACTGTGAAAAGATTGTTAATTGCATAGTGTGATTTCTGCATTAAATTAGGGCAGAAAACCCCACTGAGTTTATTACCTGGAATAAGAAAAATGCAATTGTTTGCCTGAGGTTTAACTAATTAATGTTTAGTAGGCACACAAGGTAGTTTTCTGTATGCTGATTTTATTGGTGGCCTTTCAAAGGGCAAATACATTAACTATTAATAAAATACTATTTGCCAGTCTGGAGCAATTTAAGTATACCCAAGTTGGTACATTGTTAGAACAATGAATGAGGAAACCAAAGCAGCTGATGAGAGAGAGAGAGGAAAGGGACTTGGAAAATTGTGATTTCTTACCATTGCCACAAGTTACACTGCAACTTGTCCACTTTCCATATTTCCAAAAGTATTCAGGCACCTCCACTTCATTTTCCAAGCTTGAGCCTTTGCGGACAGTGTATTCATATTTTATTCCAGGGTTGTTTTCCTGAAAAAGGAGCTGAACCACATTTATTGTACATTTCAATCACAAAATATCAAACCAGAATACTCTCTTCTCTGTTTTTAGGACTACCACATTGGAGTTCCAAAGAGGCCAGCAGGCCACAAGCTAAGCCACCCACCACAGATCACAATCAAGGAAGCAAGAACCATCCAGACCTCAAAAAAAGTTCTAATGTAAGAATTAAAGGTAACATATTAAATTTGGAAACTGCAGGAGTCACTCCAGTCCTCTTTGATTTAGCTATCTTGAGTTTCTCCAGTTTGGTAGAAACAATAAATAAATATGTCCATTGATGAACTCTCTTTGAACATTTTTAATCTCTTCCCTCCAGGCTTCTTGCACATTGGTATGAACTGTAGATATATAAGGGTTTCTGCAGAATATACTAAAAATGCCAAGATGGTGGCCATAACACTGTGATTGAAGCTCCAGCTATTTTTAATGCACATCACTTCAGTATCATTGTCATGGCTACCACCTTGACTAGTGTAGATGTAAACTGCTAACAAATTCCTCTCCCATCTGTGGATTATGCCTAGAGTTCCTCCTATCTCCAGCCTTGAAACAAGGTGGAATGACAGTTTTCTGGATGTCTTTGCTTCCATTTATTTTTGCCTCCCAGATCTGGTAGCTATAATATTTTGATGTCTTCAGTCAAAAAAGTGAGAAACCTACAATCCTTTCCATAAGGCCCTGGGAATGATAATCTAGTTAAATCTGCAAGACATATGCTCTACAGCTGTAAATAATAACACCAAAATCTTCTTTTTCTTGTTGTTGTTTTCCAAATAAGAAAAAGGTGACCAATAAATACATCTAGGGCAAACACAGTTACATGACGGAATCAAACCTTTGGCTCTGATGGTAAATTAGGGAAGAGTGGCAGATTGGTAGGAGTAGACTGGGGGTAATCTAACCAGAAATTGACCGGGACTGTTTTCTAGAAGACCTTCTCAGCCCAAATGTCTAGTCAAGGGGTGGGCAATTATGGCCCCTTTACAACCTGTGGACTTCAGTTCCCGAACTGGCTCAGGAACTCTGGGAGTTGAAGTCAACAGGTTGTAAAGAAGCCTTAGTTGTCCACCCCTGGTCTCGTCTAAGGGGTAGTTTAGGTATTCTGGGTGGACAATTTTTGCAAAGTCCCTAAAGAAGAGAGAGCATGATGCACCTTAGTGGGAACCATTGGGAGACACTATCTATAGCAGTGGTGGCGAACCTATGGCACGGGTGCCAGAGGCGCCACTCAGAGCCCTCTCTGTGGGCATGCGCGCCGCCGCCCCAGTCCTAGGCCTTCAGCTGGGTTTTATAAAACCTTTTCGCTTTAGGCCCCTGCCGCCATGTACAAAAAAAAAAAGTTCAATCAATCAGTCAATTTCAACTTCTCCGGGAAAAAAAAAGATCTTGCAAAGTTGGAATTGATTGATTGAACTTTTTAGTCCCACCCAGTTTGCCGTTACCATGGCAGCCACACCCACCCAATGGGCCACACCCACCCAATGGGCCACACCCAGCCAACGGGCCACACCCACCCAATGGGCCACACCCACCCGGCACCCGACGATGCATAAGTGGGTTTGGGTTGCAGTTTGGGCACTCGGTCTCTAAAAGGTTTGCCATCACTGATCTATAGCAATGTTTCTCAACCTTGGCATGGACTCCAGTTCTCTGAACTCCTCAGCCAGCATGCTGGAGTCCACACATGTTAAACTTGCCAGACACTGAAAATGATGACTTGGAGAGAGACGCCTCAAGAACTGAAAAAGTGAAACCTAATGGGCTGGCTATTAGATAGAGGGGGGAAAGCACATAGAAACAAAATGTGGAGTCAGAACCCTCCATTTAACTCGAGATTACACCCCATTCACAGTAAGTTCATTCTGAGAAATGAATTTGATGTATTACCAGATGTATCAATGTGATCATTTATTAATGCATTGGACAACATACCAATCCCTTAACAAAAGAGAGAAAGAAATAGTGGAGATAATGCAAGCAATTCAGTGAAATGTAGCACTACTCAGGGAATTCAGAAAATATGAAAAACTAACAGAAGTGGCTAGGCCAGAAATAATTTCTACAACATTTTATTGCTGGTCCATACGTTCTGTTCCTTTCTATAAGAGGACCGTGTGCAGAAAAGAACAGGGTTTTTTTCTACGTCTTTTAAGATTTAAACAGTAGAATATATCATGAGATATACAAACTCTAAATCAGTGGTTCTCAACCTTTTTAATGCCGCGACCCCAACCGGTCGTAAGTCAAGGACTTTCCCTGCCCGGGAGCGCCACACATGCGTGGTTCCGCCCCCTGCGCCGGCCGAGGCGTAGCTGGCAAGCGGCAGAGACGGAGCAGGCCGACCACCAGCTGGCCCAGCCCAAGGGAGGTAAGGCACCCGCCGGAAAAGGGGGAAAAAATGGCGGACAGCCTTGCTTGGCGACCCCTGTGAAATGGTCGATCGACCCCAAATGGGGTCGCGACCCATAGGTTGAGAACCGCTGCTCTAAATACTGCCAACTTTTGGGATAGTCCATAACAATTTTTTCTAGGCAAAAACTATACAGAAACTATACAAAGATACAGTTTCTCCAAGGCATACTTCCTATTGGCTGTTACAGAGCACATTTTTTTATTTCAATTTATACTACTATGCATATATATTATCCTAAAAGATCTTATTAAAAAATTGATACCTATCACATTAGCTGCAGTAGATCACATTGGATCCAGTTCACAAGCTGTTACTTGCAGCAGCAAAAGCAGGTGAGATAAGCTGCAAATATTGACAATTCCTTTTCTGCACTACATTCACAGTCTGCATCATACCCATTACCTGACATTCTGACGTACCTGCAGCCACAAAGATTCATTTGTGGGTCCAGAAGCAGTGAGGTTTTCCAAATCTCCTTTTCTTCCATACTTAAATATTGTTCCTGCCACTTCGTAATCTCCATTCCACTGAATAATAAACCCTCCATTTAGATAGTACTTCTGAGGGTCTTCACTGCGCAGAGCAAGGAAATTGCCTGCCTCTGACACTTCAATCACTTTGATGTGCCTTGCACCTTTGGGAATCAGGCCAATGTCAACATAACCTACGGGAGGAAGACAAAATGGATTTGAAAACATCTCCAGGTGTTCTTGAAGCCCAGCTGACATCATCCAACGGTCCAAGATATTGGGACTTGTAAAGTCCAAAAGACGATAAATAGCCTACCTGTGGCTTAGAACACAGGTGGGGAATATTGACCTCTAGCACTTTTAGTTCTATCTAGCAGTCCAGGAGGTTTTTTAAAATATTAAAATATTTATTTTGTTAATGAAATTTAATTTAAGCATCTCTTTACATCTTCTTTGTAATGGATATACATCTGTATGTAGATTTTTGGCTCAGAAATTTCTGATACATAAAGGTCTTTAAAGCTTACCTTACAGATAGTCTTCCATTTGTTGAACAACCATTTGAAGTTACAACAGCACTGAAAAAAGTGATTTACGAGCAGTCCTCACACTTATGACCATCACAGCATCCCTGCAGTCATGGGATCAAAATTCAGACACTTGACAACTTTTATGAGAGTTGCAGTGTCCTGGGATCATGTGATCACCATTGTCGACCTTCCCAGTGGCTTCTGACAAGCAAGGTGAATGGAGAAAGTTGGATTTGCTTAAAGACTGCAGCAACATGCTTAACAACCATGGCCAAAAATGTCATAGAATTGATCACGACTCACTTAACAACTGGATTGCTTAGTGAAGAAGGTGCCAGTCTCAACTGTGGTCCTAAGCAGAGGACTACTGGAACAGAGTGTTATAGAACAATACTGGATTTATTTCATTTCAAAACAGCTGTAAACCCACAGATAAAATGTAATGGCAAGAATGACAAACTGAAACTATAATTTTTCTCTTCCCTTTTCCATAAGCACGAAACAAAAGTCTTACATAACCTTGGAAAAGTTAAACAGTGGTGTTCAGCTATTTGTATTCTCCATGCTCTTTCCCCAAAAATGCTTTGTAGCAAAGCCTTCTGCTTCCCTGATTTTTTCAAGGAGAAGCTGATAGCTTTCATCACACAGAAAAGAAACAATAGCTGAAAATATGGATCGTTTTCCCAGTTGTACAACGAATTTCAGCTGGCATTCTGGATAGAGCTGCGATTCCTATTCATAGACCAGCCTATTTAATAGGGTTTGGACAAGTGTAAAGAAAGGTTTGTTTGTACATTTTGACAATGCTTACAAAGATATCTCTCTTGGATGGGATAATGGGTATTGAAACTGTAATACATATCCTATGTTTAATTATGCAGCCCCTAATATGTAACAAATTAATTACTCTTAATACTCACCTATTGGATGGGGTGACATTATTAATCTCATTTAATATCATAGGCAAGTTTAGGGACTTGATACCAAATTTAATACAGGTAGTCCTCAACTTACAATCACAACAGAGCCCAAAATTTCTGTTGATAAGTGAGGCAGTTGTTAAGTGAGTTTTGCCCAATTCTACACCTTTCTTGCTACAGTTGTTAAATGAATCATTGCAGTTGTTAAGTTAGTAACACGGTTGTTAAGTGAATCTGGCTTCCCCATTGATTTTTCTTGTCAGAAGGTCGCAAAAGGTGATCACATGACCCCAGGACACTGCAATTGTTATAAATATATGCCAGTTGCCAAGCATCCAAAATTTGATCATGTGACTATGGTCAGAAGTGTGAAAAACGATGGTAAGTCATTTTTGTCAGTGCCGTTGTAACTTCAAATCAAGAATCCAATTGCAGTGTTTAAGCCTAGTGTTTAAGCCTAGTTTGTCTACTAGAGGCTGGGGAATTATTGTACTAAATGCCGAACTGAGGTCAACAAACAACAAACGCACATGAGTATTTCTTTCCTCTAAGTGCCCCAAGCTCAGATGGAGAACGGAAGAAATAGCATCCTCCGTAGAACAATTTAATCGGTAAGCAAACTGAAGCGGGTCAAATGCTTGCGGGAGGCTAGATACAATAATGTCCTTTATCAGCCTCTCAAAGCATTTCATAATGATGGATGTCAGTGCAACCAGACGGTAATAATTGAGACCCATAACTGTGGACTTTTTTGGCACTGGTAAAATAATGGCCATCTTAAAACGATGGGACCACTGCCTGCTGCATTGAGAGATTGAAAGTATCTGTAAGAACATAAGCCAGCCATTAGATGTAGTTAACTATTTTTACGGCTAATCTGTACTGATATTGCAATAAAGCATGTAACAGGCATCAAGCACTTCACTCAAAATCTCAAAGAATATCCTTATTATTTTATTTTAATTCTAATGAAATGTGATAACAAATAAATCATTGATCTACAGCTATCTACAACTTTCCACTAAAGTATTTACATAATGTTGCCAGAACATAAATAAAATATATATCCATTTGCCTTCTCAAGCTAGTACTAGTCAAGCATAGCAAATTACTTCAATGAAATTTGTTTTGTTAGCAACCAAATATGTCTACGTCTGCAGCTCAGTGCACCAGCAAATTATGATAGATGTAAAATATTCTCAACCAAAGCCTCCATTTCTATGCCATAATGAAATGGAATAATTAATAATGATCTGCTTTACAGGCTATGCAGAAATTGAGACAAACCCTTTAACCAATGAGTGGCTTCGGGGTGGATTTCCATCAGTACGCTGATGACACTCAGCTGTACATATCCACCCCGGGCCACCCCAACGATGCCCTTGACGTGATGGCCCGATGCCTGGAGGCCGTGAGGGTCTGGATGGGGAGGAACAGACTCAGACTCAACCCGTCCAAGACCGAGTGGCTGTGGCTACCAGCGCCTCGGCATAGTCAGCT